TCCAGTGAATGGGAGAAGTCGTCCTGTTCAGCTGTACGACGCGTCCAGAGAGTGGGACGCCGTCATCCTGGTATCTGCAGTAGTCCAGGAGAGGTCACTACACATTGAGAGATAGAGAGCTGTGAGGACAAATGAACGATGTGCGAATGTCAGCTGTGATCAATAACTACGTCTCTGCATTTGTGTCAGGTATCCTGTTAAATAAACTTGTATGACGGTGTCATCGTCGTCGAGTTGTCTTGTTAAGAAAGGAAGCTGAAGAGTACCTGCTAGACACTTGGTAGTGTGCTGACTCAATTTAGCACACAACAACCCACTAACATATATCCCAGGGTTATGCCCTGTACCCACCAACATATATCCCAGGGTTATGCCCTGTACCCACTAACAAATATCCCAGGGTTATGCCCTGTACCCACCAACATATATCCCAGCCACCAACATATATCCCAGGGTTATGTCCTGTACCCACCAACATATATCCCAGTGTTATGCCCTGTACCCACCAACATATATCCCAGGGTTATGCCCTGTACCCACCAACATATATCCCAGGGTTATGCCCTGTACCCACCAACATATATCACAGGGTTATGCCCTGTACCCACCAACATATATCACAGGGTTATGTCTTTAAAAAAATAATGCTGACTGAACGAAATATGGAAATCTTCACTGTGTGGGTTCCGGGGCTCTATTCTGGAGGGAGGGGGAAGACTATCGCCACATAACAAGCAAGTCGTAGGAAGTAACTAATTAGGGGTGTTCCCTTCAAAGTTGGTTTGTATATGCCTGAGAGGCAAGGAACCAACAGTCTCCATAAAAATAAGTGACATCTGTATACTGGATGCACACATACAACTCAAGTTCTGGATCAAGACCAAAGTCCCAGAGTGGATGAACAACCAGGACTTTCCATTGCAGTTTACAGCCGGTGAGAGTGAAGAAATCGATACAGAATTCTAAATTATATAGTTTTTTTTTTGGACAACTTCTTGTATCAATACCTATAAGAATAAGAAGACACATCATGAGGAGAAGCAGGTAAACAATCACTAAACGGGCACTGAAATTGACTGAGGGAACAAGAATGACCAAAAGAAACCCTAAGATTGCTAAGATGAATGCTAATGAGAGAGGCCAAAGGTGCTGAACTGGGTTCCATCCATGACTGCACAGGACAGAATGGAACAGAGGACTTGACTGTGAGCCCTATGTGATGTATAATGGCATAAAATAATCACGATGATGAATGTTTCCTGAGAGACAAAGATATATTTATATGCCATTTATAATTTTTAACTCTTTGGGTGACAGAAGGCAACTAAAACAATGCATATTGCATTCCTTGGTACCGAAAGAGTTAACAATAAGCTGCTTTATGCCTGCAATACAACTCCCCAATTTTTTATATAAATTAATGGTGAAATAAAAAATGTTGCAATATTATGTTCTTAGCATGAATGATAATAAAGTTGAAGATGATGTTAACAATAATTATTAGTTAACATACTTTTCCTTTTGTTCTGTACGCAGCATATCAACTTCTGCCTTATGTTCATCATGTAAAAGAGAGAGTTTTCTGTTCAATATGTCATTTTCATCTGCTAATCGTGTTATCTCTCTTCTGGCCAGCTCTTCTGCTTCAGAGAACTGGATGCTCCTTTCTCGCTCCTTTACCAAAGTTTCCTGGAGCTCCTTAAAGAAAAAAAGTGTCAAAAGCTTTAAAAAAAACAATAAAACCGGTCAGAATAATTGCTACATGTTGTGTTTAATGATGACTTCACATGACATAAGGCTGACCCAGACTAAACTGGGTATTCTGAAATGTATTGGGAAGTAAAAGTGACCAGCGTGATACTGACCACATCATCCAGTTAGTGCTGATTGGTCTATACAACTGAGTCTAGCGTCAAATGCCTGATGCATCACTGGCATCTAAAGTGTAATTTACCTTAGTTTTATATCAGACGCCATGCCCATACTTAATGTTTTGGAATGCTTGCTTTGGAAAATTGAAACTGGTGTCCTGCACGCAGAGTGGCTTTTGACACTTGATAAGACCTATATCAAGAGCATATCAGAGATTTTCTGTCCTGGATATGCAGGCTGTGAGCTACTAGAGGATAAAGCAGATGTGGTGAAGGCTCTAAGGAATCAAATGGACAGTGCACAAGAACAGACAGGGAATTCATACACTAAAAGATTAATACAACAAGAGGTGTGTAGACGTTCTGGAAGATATTCAACATTGAAGGGGGAAACACAGGCAGACTTTTAACAGGTTGCAACTGGTACAATTAGCATGTCGACTTTTTGTTGGTTACTGAAGAAAGAAACGGAGCATGTGTGGGAATGTCTTGAGTGCAGTAATGTTATTTCTTGATTCATTCATTCATTCAGTCTATTCTAAAAAGATCTGTAATGCATCTTAAGCTTTGTTTGCCTTTCATAACAACTATATACATTACAGTCCACAAGGCTCATTGTAGTCCATTTTTCTCAGTGATCTTCATATTTAAGTCATTATCTTTTTTTTCCTTTTACAACTGCCACATTTTCCTCTAGAATTACTGATTTTATTTAGTAAATCTCTTCCATGCCTAGTGTGCTAATGAGTTCTCTCTCCCTTTTTTTTATTTCTATGACCTATTTTAATACCAAACAACAGATTAAATATTAAATGGTTTTTAGTCATGATTTTTTTGTTAACTCTCCATGCTCCATCCACGGTGCTGCATCCAAATTATCTTAACTCCTATATGACAGAGCTGTGTTTATTATTTTGCTCAATCAGATCCAATCATTTATTAAAGCAGGAACTTATTAGATATAAAACAAACTGAAGTAAAAACCTCTGGGACTAAAAGGGGTAATGGGCAACAGTTCTGTAGTTCATGCATGGCGCCGGTAGTCATGTCTATCCACAACCTTCTGTCTTGTGTATTTTCAATCAGTTCTGACACAGATGATCTTCCGTATCATGATGTCAAACTGTTCAGCATCTTCTCTTTCAGTCTCACTCTACCTCTTTTCCTCTTCAACTTTACCACCATTATCATGTTCTTCAGTTTTAACCTTCTCATGACATGACCAAAGAATGTAGATTGTCTCTTTCTGATGTGGGCAATCAGTTCACTTCATAAGTCAGTTTCTTTCAAGACATCTTCATTACTTTTTTAAAATCTGTCTTAGGTATTCTTATCATTCGTCTAAAAACAGCACCTCTGCCACTTGCAAATAATTTGTTTAGCTCATCAAGGAAAGGTTAATACTCAACATACTTAGCAATAAAGCAACAACGGTCTGACCTTGATATAATCTTCCTCAGAGTGTACCTTCTGTTCATATCTGGCATCTGAATGGTTCACTTCCTCTTGGAGAACCTGGAACTTTCGTCTGCTAGACTCAAGTAGTTCTGTCAGTCGAATGGTCTTAGCTCTCTCCTCCTCTAATGCATCACTGAAAATAGAAGAACATTCAACATCAAACTGTTTTCTATTGTAAAAACAATTAAAGAACTGTCAGCAGTGGAGCAGCAGCTGCAATTTCATTTTGGTATAAGGGGCAAAATTAAGAGAGTGTCACCACAACATAGAACAATTAATAATAAAAAGTTCAGGGTGTTCCATAAATTTCCATACATAAGAAAAACAAACGTACCACCAACATATTACAGAAGTGTATTTTCACACTCCTGCAGATATTCAAAAAAATTATATCTCAGCTGTATTGGAATATAAAAGGATAAAATTATATACTAATATTTACTACAATCTCAATTTTATTTTGCCCTTATTACAAGTAATAAAACTGCAGTTTTGCTTATCTGAGGTATATAAAAAATACAATGATTTTGCTGGGTGATATTTTAAGAGTTATACAGCAAACAGTTGAAATTTAATCAATCGGTCTTTTACAAACAGGCATGTTTCTTTTGATTGTACCCAAATTCTGAATAAGAGCAGAACTGTGCACTGAAAGGGTCGCAATGCACTATAAAATGAGTGCGCTACATTGTTTACCCATTTACGCCACAAGCTGTAATGGTATAACTTATGTCGATGATTATCATTAATGTACACTGGTAGGAAAAAAACACTGATTTACGCCCTTGTGGTAGACAACTGCAGAAACACTTCTAACTTCTACTATACTCACAATTCATACTGGTACTGTATTTATTACCTAACTATAAATAAACAACTGATAAAAATAACAAACAAAACATCTGTTTTGATACAACTATGAAGTCTAAATATTATTTATGTATAAACAATTGACGTTGCGATGAAATAAGGAGCTCATGCGGGGGGGGGGGGGGGGGGGGGGGGGGGTGGGGGGGACCATGTTCTCGGGACAAGTAATTACCAAGAAATTTTGGAAAATACACCAGCAGGCATTTGTAAACACATTTTAGCATAACTCCAGATGTTCTTTTATGTGTTCTTCAACAATGGAGGACACATACTGAAATATTTTCCTATGTATAGAAGGGACCCAATGCATATATAAAATGGGGTAAATATAAAATCAAAAGAACGAATAAGGACAAAAATTCTAACACTAATAAAATATACATTCTAATAAATTGCTGCTGACTTTCAGCAATGGCACTGGAATTTACTGATTTCGTACTTAACAAGAATGACAGATTATGATTATGACATTACAATTATTAATCAAATAACACAGGCTTCAACAGTTTTAAATATATACAATATTTTGACTTCACTTATTATTCATTAAAAAGTATAAATCACCACTGCATAATGAAAATCATTGACAGCGAATGCAATTTCACAACATAGCAAAGATTCATAACATTACCTATAAGAAAAATTATTACCACCAAGTTAAATTTATATTTTTAAATAGGTTTCTTACAAATGTATCTCTGTTTTTAAGAACATGTTCAGCGCATAACTCTGCTTTCAGCAACATCATCTCTCCGAAGATTCCAACTTTTTTCTTCCTTCTATTTCTGATGGGATTTTTTGTATAACACTTTCACACCAAAAACAATTTAAAAAAAAAAATCATGACTTGGATTTCCAGAGAAAAAAATCAGTAAAAAGAATTTTTACGCGCCACCAATAAATTCCTAAAAAATTTATTGATCAACATTTTACAATTATTTTTCGAAATATATAAAGACGTATGAAAGGGGTAAGCAATAAATATGAACAGGGTGAAGTAAATCACACAGGGCCTAAAAAACACACAGATATCAGGGACTCAATCAACCCAATCTTTTCCAAAGCCATTGTTAGTTAATGAATTCATATCCTGACCTCCTAAACATCTGTGCAGGCATGAACTCAGCCTCTCGTAAACAGGTCACTATAAACAAGTAAGAAAAGGGACATTTACGGGAATTTGGAAACATAAGTGTCTTTTTTTGGGGGTGGGGGGACTTCTCGGGGTGAAAGGTTAAGAGTCAAAGAATACTACTGGTTGAAATGCATTATGATCATTATTATCTTATTCTTTAGGTCAATGTCCATGTTAACTGATAAAACAGGTTTGTTCTTTAGAGATGCTGTTTTGTCCAGTGCAACAAACCTAGATCTTAATTCCGCTTCTCAACAAACATCTTCTATGATAATATAACCCAGGCAGGGAAACTACTGCACTATTTTCAATGTCTTTCCTCTGTGATAATATTTATGCTTCCGTTTTTTTTTTTTAATCATTACATATTTTTTAATTTTAAAAACAATGCTAGTATCTATCTTCATTTAATATAAAACAATGCAGATAATTATTCTTCTAATGAAAAGTGAAATTACATTCAGCATAAGTGGTATACAATGGTTTAAAATGCTTGGCTCTCATGCAGGAAAAAATCCTCCCTAAGGCTGTGAATGTTCTTCTCTCAGGGGCAAAATAAAATCCTAACCTGCAGTCCATGACGAAGCACTAGCCATGCAGCCCTAAATCCTCAGGTTCAAAGATTCCCCTGCCTACACCGCAGCCCTAAATCCTCAGGTTCAAAGATCCCCCTGCCTACACCGCACCCTAAATCCTCAGGTTCAAAGATCCCCCTGCCTACACCGCAGCCCTAAATCCTCAGGTTCAAAGATCCCCCTGCCTACACCGCAGCCCTAAATCCTCAGGTTCAAAGATCACCCCTGCCTACACCGCGGCCCTAAATCCTCAGGTTCAAAGATCCCCCTGCCTACACCGCGGCCCTAAATCCTCAGGTTCAAAGATCCCCCTGCCTACACCGCAGCCCTAAATCTTCAGGTTCAAAGATTCCCCTGCCTACACTGCAGCCCTAAATCCTCAGGTTCAAAGATCCCCCTGCCTACACCGCAAAAGTGTTAAATACAGGAGGTTATAGCAATTGATTTTTTTTTTTTTAATGGTATGATTGTTAAATTAGGTTTTTGATTTGTTTTTTTTTTAACTGAAAAATGATTTATTGTTATAAGCTGCTTATTATATTACATCTTATTCTGCATTTGCCCTTAGAATGGTGGTTGGCACATTTTGTTACAGTTTAAAGCTAGGCTGCACTCTCTGCACCTTTTGGCTCAGCACATACGATTTTAGCAAATCATTAGTGCCTCACCTTTTACAACACGCCAGTTAAGGGGCAGTAGATATGTTCCTTAAAACCCCCCCCCCCCCCCCCCATGGGGCCCTGGAACCCAATAGGAGGTCAATATGTAATATACATTAGTAAAAAGTGAAGGACCCATTTCAATGCCTTTAGGTGTATAGTGCATATAGGGCTAGACCTATATTTTATAGACCAATCAACAAAAGATGGGTGAGGTGGTCAGCATAACACGGACTGCCTTTACTTCCCGGGGTAATAAGTGTTAAAATGTAGAATATAAACATTATTCCAAAAATAAAGAATACATGTTTGATAAAACAACTGTGTAACAACATAAATAAGTACATACAATACTGCTGTAAAGGTTCACAGTAACATCCTTTGGTTAAATAAAACACATCTGCTAGTGAGATTTGTGTGCAACTGTGTTCATTCATTGGTTATTATATGAGATATTAAGATTTATGAAGATATATATGTGAAGTATCTACCATGCCATACAGGTGTACATTTTTTAAAAAGAACACAGGCACACATTTTACAAACAGCAAACATTTATCTGGGGTTTGTCATACTTTAATCATTGCTGGTTATAGAAGTATTAAAGAGAATTGAATCGATTTAAACTGACAATCAAACTTTAATGTGATCTTGATAATTTCTGGAAATTTACATTCTTTACAAACACCATCGAGTAGCAGGATATTTTTAGAATACTGTTTTATCATGGCCCATTGGCATCTGTGGCTTAGGCATTGTGAACACACTTTGTAATGCCTAAGGTGCCAGGCTAGATTCTAGGTGCAGGTGATTTGGCAACAGATCACCTTGCAAAGGTTTCAAAAGTGACACTGAGAGCCAGCCAACCATTCAGCAGCAGTGGTAAACTAATGAATCTAAAATTACCCAGTAAAATCAGTCCAAAAAAATGCAAGGGATGGTTTTGCAACGTCCTGTTTAAGACACACAACAAACTTTTTTTTAGCACAACTCCAGTTGTTCTTATGTGTTCTTCTTATTACAGCCCATAGAAAGACTCCATTTTATTTACGTTTCCTTTCCTCAGGCACTTTGATGTCTGTGGTATCTTTAATGTCCCGCGTCTACCATGACCGTAGTCAAATTCTGCTTAATTTTTTTCCCAGGACCACCAAGGTGTCCACGACATGGAGGTGACAGCCATTAAATCTAGACAATCCATCAACAGAGTTCACAAGTCTCTGGAAAAATCGCTTTATATACACTTTGGGAACTCTGGCGCCCAGTAGACTAAACTGCCACCACAGCTTTATCTAAAGCCTAGGGGGCTGAACTGCCTACAGTTTCATCCTATCCTCGAGTGACGGCCCCTGGCATTTTCCGGGATATTTATCTTCCCAGCCTCAAGTGCCTCGCCAGACTACTGGCTTAACTTCGACTCGGCTGCCTTGAGATACAAAGTTATATTGTGTATTTGTGTAGTATTGTCTAATCTATGTATGTGCTGAGTAAGGCTCCATAACCACAGCGTTCATGTTCTGTTTGTGTTTGTTATTTTGTGAAGCTCGCTGATTTACTTTTAGTTCGGTTTTATATCTTTCCCTAATATTTTTTCAAGAAATCATGCCTTCCATTAATAATTTTCTTCTCAGCCACTATGATATTTAATACAGTCTCATCATTATCATCAGGTGCCTTGCAGACTGGCGTGGGCGGTGATGCCTCTCCACAACCTGCGATCTCCTGCAGCATGTATCAGTTCGTGTGCTGACACACCTCCATGCCATGCAACAAGACTGTCAAGATCTTCTCTCGTTGTCTTCCTCTATCCCTCCTTCCACAGATCTTTCCGGTGGTCACAACATGTTCAATTTTCCCTCTTCTCATAACATGGCCAATAAATGATGACTGTCTCCTTCTGATGTCTGTGATTAGTTGTCTTCGAGCTCCTGCCTCTTTCAAAACCTCTTGGTTGCTCTTTTTGGTTGTCCAAGGTATTTTAAATATTCTTCTGTAAAACCATATCTCTGAGGCCTCAAGAAATTGTTTGGCCTGCCTAACGATTGTGCAGCACTCACAGCCATATGTTAAAACTGGATGTATGTTGCAAGCAAAAGTTCATTTTCTAACTCTCAATGACAAAGATATATTGCATAATATGTTCTTCATTTTATCAAATGCATTTTTTTCCTGTCCTATTCTGTTTCTTATCTCAGTAATGCATCTTCCATCTGATGTTATCCATGTGCCCAGGTACTTATATGTATTTCAATTTCTGAGATATAATACTTTTTATAAGCCAATGTTCTTTCCCGTTAGATCTTGTAGAATGTTAGTAAATTTACTTCCTTCTGACCTATGGTATTCTAATATTGCCCTGTAACTTTAAAGCAAAAAATGTCCACTTTTTCTTTAGAAGGAAGGCATGTCATACAAAAACAGATGCTATTATAATATAGAATTCCTAGAAGTGGATAATAGCAGAATGGAAACCAGTACTACACTACCTAGGAAAGATAATATAAGGTTTTGTTACAGAAAATAAAATTGACCTCCATTTCAAAAGTCTAGTGACAAGGACTGGAGAAAATAATAATGAAAAGTCACAATAAACACTCTCAAAGGAGGGTGATGTGACTGCAAATATCAATATAAAGGAAAACAATAAACATAAACTATAGGATGCTAAAGTTCTCTGTTTGAGTTCCTGAATCTCATTCTGTGGTAAAAAAGAACAAATGAAACGTGCAGTCATCAAAACCTAACTAAAAACCCCAACACAACATGCTTACCACCCTTTTTAATGGGCGAATGCAGATGAAGAAGAAGAAGCAGGATGCTGCAAAGATGTTCTGTGATAAGAAAAGTCTCTAGATTTTTTACCAGAAGCATCTAAAATACCTCCCCCCAAAATCAAATCTTGCACAGTAATCTAGTTGTTTTTCTTTACTGCGTGCAGTATTATTCTACATATACTTTAGTGTTCAAATCAAGTGAGGTGAGAACAAGATGCTGGTGCTGGATAGGACACACTGAGAAAAACTTTTAATATAATTAGAATGAAATAAGAGTGTCAGACAAGACTTATGTCGTCTGACACTTCATTATTCAATGCACATAAGGATAAAAAGCTTTCACAAAATTTACCAGGAATCATAGTTGCTGGACATACCTTACATGTAACTGATGAAACTACTGTGATGGTCAAAAGTTTTAGGGAACTTCAAAAAATGAATGACCCAGCAGTTGAACAAGTACAGAAAAAGATATAATTTCTTCTTCTTCTGCATTATCCTTAAAAAGGGTGGCTGACATATTGTGTTGTGGTGTACAGCTAGGCTGCATTATCTGCTCCTAACACATCCGATTTCAGCAATCAGTCACCTTTTACAACATGCTTGTTAAGAGATAGTGAGTGTGTCTATTATTTTTTCCTATGAAAATGGGGTACTGGAACCCATATGGTGGAGAATTTAATCTGAACAGTGAGAAGACAGGATCAGTGACAATATCTAACACATGGCTTCTGATCCCATGGATAATGAAAATTAATGGTGTTAAGCCGAGGGCTTTCAAAGGAATTAAAATATCTAGTCACATGGAAAACAAAAGTGTGACAATAAACCCACAAATAAATAAACAACAGGACAAGACAAATGCATTTATCAAATGAAGAAAGAACACAGATGCAATACAGTTTCACACATACTAGTTAATATATGCTTAGGCATATATGTTGCATGCATTCAAACAATCAAGCCAACACTGCCAAACACAAACTGGACAACCACACAGCATCAAAGCATTGCTGGTGCATGAACTTACAGCGATTCGCTCCAATCTACCCTGTGTCAGTGAATACAGAGCCCACATACAACATGTACACACATAAAAAAAAAAAAAAATTAAACCAAGAAAATAAATAAACACTAATGTGGTTTCTTATCTGTGGCTTTAATGGAGGTGGATCAACTTGTGTATGTGGCTTTAATGTCCCTAGATGTAAATCAACTTGTTTTAATGTGGCTTAATGTCCCAGGAGGCAGATCAGCTTGCTTTAATGTCCCCGGAGGCAGATCAACTTGCTTTAATGTGGCTTTAATGTCCACAGAGGCAGATCAACTTGCTTAAATGTGGCTTTAATGTCCTTGGAGGCAGATCAACTTATTTTAATGTGGCTTTTAAGTTCCGGAGGGGCATCAGTGTAGTTTGCTACAGACAGATGTAGCTTTTGTAAAAGCTTATGTGAGAAGTAAGTCTCAAGTCATAAGCATTCCTTTGTTAACAAATACCAAACCTATCTTTGATGAAAAAAAAATAGCTTATCCAAACTTTAGGCATTCTTAACCCTGCAGGGTTGAATGTTCAGCATTCTTTTATCTACCATACACAGCCTTTTTGTTGTTCTTCAATATTTCTTTGCATGTTATATCTTCCTTTGTTTATGCTTTAATTTTTTTAAACTCTTTTTTAATTTCTACTGTTCACTACTGAGGTTTTCTGCAACATTTATTAGTGATAAATTTACCAACCAGTGATAATTTCAACTATCTATAATGTTGTTTTTTTAAATACGTTTTTGCCACTCCTATTCTTTTATGGATTATTGTTTCACTTCTGACATTACTATTATTTTCTTTGAATGATAAAGGAATAAAGAGGTCAAAAAATAAGTTTAGAAAATGTACCCATATGTGGAAAAAATGTAAAGATCCCCTGTAAAATATCAGCAATCTTGAACAGGTTTTGATTAATTTTCATTTTTTTATTTTGATATTTTAATAAGGAACTATAACAACAAAATACTAACAATAATAACATTATTACTGTTAGCACATGTGATACACATACAGGTGATATATAATAATGACAACATATACTATTACTTGTGATGAAGACTAGCACAGTAAACAAAACATACACGGGTAACAAGTTAGCGAAGCAGACCAAACAGACAAGCCGGCTTTCATTTACCAGCTGAAATGTTCATAACGGAGTTAATTTAGCAGTGGAGTGATCAGTTGTCTGTCATCTTGCATTTTGCTAAAATATCTTATATTTTAAATTGGACTGTTAAATAACTATTTACAGAGCCCTAATAGTTAGCTACCACAATAGTGTTAACTTGTACATGCTTGTTAACTTGTACTCTTTCAGTCCTAAGGATGAATAATATATAGGTTCCTACCTAGAAGCCTAAATGAACGCAAGATGCGCTGATTTTATGTCTCTCTTTACTACACCTCTGATGCGAAAAATATAGGACTGAAAGAGTTGATATATGAAACATAAACCAGACATAACTTATAATATGTTGTGAAAACTGTAAACAAAGTGACTTAAAAAAAAAAGATAAGTATTAGTGTCATTCTGTGAGATACAGTGGATATAAATCAATTAAAGTTAAATACCTCTCAGTTAAGAATGCACAGCTAAGAAATAAATGTGGTTAAATAAAATAAGTATGAATATTCAAGCTGAATAAGTAAAGATTCTCATTAAAGTATAATTATTTATGGCAGACATTCAAACTCTACACTATGCAAATTTGAGACTCATCACATAAAGTCAAATGAAAAATTTATAATCTAATTCTACTTGTTAGTCATGAAGATAATAGAAAAAAATAAGACTGCTTTCCATCCATCTTAAAACCTAATATTTATGTAAAAGAATAGGCCAGGATTATTTCCATACAAACAGAATGAGACAATAATTATACAACAACTACAACACTTAAGAGATAATAATTTCTGTAATGTGTATTACAAAACAAAACAACAACAAAAATTAAACAGTACATTATTGGTCTGAAGACCTCTAGAATACTGAGCTCTAATAACTGTGTTGGATGGCTAAATTTCAAGCTAGCATCTAACAGCAGGTGATGGTGTAGAGTCCTCCCTTCTGACCCAGTATAGAAGCACCTTCTCCAAGAAAACTTGTTGCACTTCTCTCCTCCCTTTACACAAGAGCAGGAACTGAGGGGAGGGGGGGGGGAGGGGGTGGTGCAAGACCATAAAGTGAACACAGCCCACAATAATCCAGTATGTCGATCGGCCACATCATGGTAAGATGCTCAAATGCCTTGACCAGAGTTAAGTCCTTATCCTGGGATTACTGTGACCCAACATTACATCTTGTGTCATGGCAAATAGTCAGTATGGTCATTATCCATATCCAAGCATTCTCTGTTTTCTTGATAACTAATAACACTAAGTTGAATGAAATGTCAAGGCAACTTACGTCACAGAATGAAACCTCTGCTGCTCCCGTTCTAAGGCATCTCGCACTTTAGACAAGCTTATCTGTGTGGCGGACAGCTCTGACTGCAGTTCAAGTATCCGTGAACGATCTTGGCTTGACTGTGAAGACAACTCGGACACCCTCTGTCGTTCAAGCTTCAGAGAGTTTTTCATGTCTTCTTGAACCACACTTTCCTGCTGCAGCTTGTACTCCAACATTTGAACTGAAAATGTTATGGATTCATACTACAGGGTGTCCTATAAGTTTCCATGCATAGGTAAAATAAACACATCACCAACGCCACTATACGCATAACTCTCAAGATACTTATATGTATTCTTCAGCAGTGAAGGACATGCATCTAAATGTGTTTTCGAATTAGCGGTAGTCACATAGAGCATATTATTAGGTTCTTTATTAATATCCTATCCCAGATGACGTCACAGGATAGTCCATCATTTTAGAGGGTGGTAAGACTGGGTTTCCTGGCTTACTAATGCTTTTAACGACCCCAAAGCATCTAGAACTGGCCCTACCCCCAACCCACCGATGTCCCACGACTGTATACAGCCTAGGTCCCACAACTGCATGCAGCCTATCTACCACCCCCCTGAAATATTAGACTGTCCCGTGACCTGTGAATTTCCCCTGTTTGTGGTAGGATATTAATAAAGCACCTATTTTATAAATAATAATAGTTTTCATAAACAAAATTGTGTGTCTCTGTGTATGGTACACACTCTCTGTCTTTAGCAAATGCTTCCCCCCCCCCCTCCACCACCACCCCCCCCCCCCACCCCATATTAGTAACTAACTAATTATCTTTACTGCCTGTATGAACCACTTTATAGGGCAGCTTAAGACAAGGAAGTCTTTGGGCAGAGGATTTAGGGTTGCACCGTTACTGCCGACACCATGGACCGTGTAAGGTTATGATAATAATTGTTCTATATTCCCTGTGCAGGTTCCAGGGCTCAATTCTGGAGAACAAAAAATGGACTAACTGCCCACTTTAACAAGCATGTCATAGGAGGTGACTAATAGGGGTGTTTTCCTTCAAGGTTGGAGTACATCTGCCTGAGAGGCAAGGAGCCAACAGTCTGCATACAAATAAGCCAGATCTGTGAAACGGACAGGCAGGCAAAACTGAAGTTCTGGATCAAGACCAAAGTCCAGTCCAGGCGTGCATGAACAACCAGAACTTTGCTGGGGTTTACCATCGGTGGAAGCTAAGAAGAAGAAGAAGATTTTCCAATATGACTATCACGGCTAATGATACCAAGGCATCTTTAAGAAGTATATAAGTAAATCACTTTTTATACGCACGTACTAATCCCATATTTTAATGGATTAACGCTCAGTATCAAGCCTGTAGTAGCCTTTACTTCCTAATACATTTCTAGGTCTTCTTCTCAAAGTCCATGCCATGAGGTCATGTCTATCCACAACCTTCTTTCTTGTCTATTTTTAATCAATTCTTATACAGATGGTCCTCCATGCAATGATGTCAAACTATCTAGCATGTTATCGCTCAGTCTCCCTCTGTCCTCTCCTCCAACTTTCCTACTATCACGATGTACTCCAGTTTTCACCTTCTCATCACATGACCAAAGAATGTCAATTTTTTTCTTTCTGACATGAGCAATCAGTTATTTTCGTGAGGCAGTTTCTTTCAAGAAATCCTAAATGCTCTTTTTATCTGTGCAGCGTATTCTCATCATTTGTCTCATCATTTCTAAGTAGGTAAAGGATTTTAAAAAAAACATTCTACTGAAGACAGCAGGCACACCCGCTAGCCAATGTGATTATTGTAGCTCATATAAGAAGTAGTAGTATAATAAAGAACTGTATGACCATAGCAATACACATTGAAGTACAGCAAAAAGGAATGAGAAACAACCTAAAATTAATTAATCTGCCCACAGGCAAGACAAGGAAGAATGTCATTTACAAAACTTCTTTTAAAAGAATAAAAAAAATATTGTTCTCAATTTCTTCAAATAATAAAATCATTTAAATACAGTTTCTTCCAACTATGTATGCTCTTTTATCAAAACATAAAAGCAACAACAACAACACAAAAGTACTTCTACAAGTACAAACTGGCTTTCAAAATAAACTATTTTGTCACATACTCTGCAACAACAAAAAATTATTATCTATGAAGTATTGCATGAGCAGTTCCATCAGGACTTTATGTAAGAAATGGTAATGAAACTTTTATTTTTGACTCAATCCAACCTAAAACAGGTACCAGGAAATGTCATGGGCAGAAAAGGCAGCTAGTGTTATACTGATTACAAAACCTACTAAGTATTGAGTGGTCTATACAAATATGGAGCTGGTGAAATATATATTAGATACAACCTGGGACAAAAAGTGATCCTCTACTTTTAGTACTTCATGACCTGTCAAATGTTTTTGCCTACTTTAGAATGCCTTGTGATGTCATACCATACAAGGCATTCACAAGAGAAGGACGTAGAGTACAGGGATAACCAAAGATAACATCAGAGAAACTCTACAACAGCACAATGTGTCGATGGTCAATGCGGTCAAAAAAAAAAAAAAGAGAAGTAGTACCGTATATCTTCCTCAAAACCCGAAGCAGTAAAAGAAGTGAAGAGGAAGAAGAATGACCAGTCAAACAGCACCTACTTTGTCTCTGAAGCTTCCACTCAGTGCTGGATTTGGCCTCCTCAAGTTTCAGCACTTGTTGCCTGATCTGGTCCTTGTTTTCCTGAAGCTGGTTGTTGGCCTCTAAGAGACGATGATGAAGGTTGTCTATCTCATCTATCAGGGACTGCCGATCTGCTTTCAGCATCTCATCCAGGCCTGACTGATGAATCTGTTCCTGTAATTGCATGTGACATAGTGAATGAGTTAAATGGTAAATTATAAAATTCTGACTGTGTTCTTTAAAGCTACAAAGAATTAGCTTGTGTTTTTACAGTTTTTCTGAAGTTTAACTGATTTCCTGTGCATATATTAGATTTGTCAGTTAGAAACAAAGAGTTAAAAAAAAAAAGGAGGGGAGTATAAATGCAGCTAGGTGAATAATTTTCTGCAAAAAAAGCTAACAAAATACTCACTAGTTTTCAGCAATGCTATAAGCCTAATAAAATGATATTAGTTAAATATATATCAGGAGGAAAAAAATAGCAGAAATAACAATTAGGTCCCCTCTCTCGAGTCTGCACCTGTGTGTCTGTGCATGTGCATCGGCATGTATGAATGTGTTTGCGTGTGTTTCTGCATGCATGTGTTTGTTTGTCTCTGTGTGTGTCTGCATGTTTATATGTGTGTCTGGTATGTTTCTGTGTTTGTCTATCTGTATGTGTCTGCGTATTTATCTCTGTGTGTGTATGTTTGTGTTTGCATGTATTTATCTGTGTATGTGCTTCTGTCTGGTGTGCGAGTTTGCGGGCGTGTTTGTCTGTGTATTTGTCTGTGTGTGTGTATATGTGTGTCTGCGTGTGTGTCTGCATGTGTTTATGTGTGTCTGTGGATGTGTGTGTGTGTGTGTATGTATGTATGTATGCATGCATGCATGCATGCATGCATGCATGCATGCATGCATGCATGCATGCATGTATGTATGTATGTATGTATGTATGTATGTATGTATGTATGTATGTATGTATGTATGTATGTATGTATGTATGTATATATGTATGTATGTACGTACGTACCTACGTGTGTGTATATGTGTGTGTGTATGTATGCGGGTATGTGTATGTATATGGGTGTGAAGGCATGTGTGTGTAAGTGAGTGAGTGGCATGTGAGTGTGTGTGTGCTTGCACGAGTGTGTGCATGCATTTTACCACTGATGCTTTTCTTTCTTGATCTTCATAATATGCATATTATTATATGAACACAACATGCTTTATTGATAAAATACAACTGCTGTGTGCAAGATGGGTGCTTGGAAGGGCCGAATGTAAGACAGACTTGTGTGCCCAACCTGTGAACCTTTAAAAAAAATTTTGTTCATTCATTCTCCATGTGTGCGTGTGAGTATGTGTGTGCATGCATGTGAGAAAGGGAGAGATAAACAGAGAAAGAGGGAGAGAGAAATGGAGAGGGGCAAGAAAGAGAGAGAGGGCATGAGAGAAAATAAGAAAGAGAGGAGAGAGAACAAGGAAAAAAGAGAGAAGGAGAGCAACAAAAGATAAAGGAATGAAGACAAGAGGGTACAGAAATGAAAAGGGAGAACGAGACAGAGGTGGGAAACAAACACAGATGGAAACAGAGACACACAGGCAAGGTGAAGGACATACACACAAGAGAATAATTAAATGAAGCAAAATCACTTAAAAAAAATATTTTGGCATTTGAAAAGTAAATATGGATGATACCTAGCTTTTCTTGTGAGGACATAAATTATGCCAGAATGGCTTTTGTTGCTGATATTCTCTCTTTTGAGCTAAACAGAGTCAACAACCCACATCACAGCAATCAGGATATTCTCATACAACCAAAGTTTCATTTTGTAATGGTACTAGCAGCATTTTGATTATACGTCCATCATGCTTTTCCTGTGAATGTGGAGCAGAGGTGAGCAACCTTGTTCAGTCTGCAGACCAAATTTCTAATTACCATACTTAAAAAATAAAACCATTAAACACATCTCTTAGCGTCTGAGTCTGTCCGCAACATGTTTCAATAGCAGGATCAGAGATTTGGCAACATCAGTTTCTGGTTATCTCTGTTTAGGTTATCACATTTTTGGATTTTTCTCTGCATAAGAACGGATGTTTTTATGCTCTGCTATTTTGTGAGCTCAAGGGCTTGATTATATAGCAATTTTACACCAGCCTCGAAAGTCACTGAAAATTGCTCGGTGGGTGAGTTTTGGCCCACTGGTCACAGTCTGCCCACCGTTGATGTAGACCTTTGGCCACATCCTCTAGTCACTCCCCACCACACAACTCTCTATAAGGCAATGATGATGTATTTGCACTTTTGAATTGTTCACTTGCTTCCAAAGAGCCTTGACCCTGTTTAACTCAAAATTTCCAACACAATTATTTTTATCTTTCTCAGGCAAACTGTTGCTAACAAGAGATACAGCTATACTGAGAGCATCCTTTTAAAAGAAAACTCACCTGATTGCGTAGTTTAGTTTCCAACTGCGCAAACAACTCCATCTCTGGATACAAAGACCTAGAAATGTTGACCTCAACTTGCAGGACTTTCTGCTCCTTCTCATACACAGCTGCCAGAGCATGTAGCAGACCAACCCTCCAATCACCGACATTGTCGTCATTTTGCTGATAAATAATAATTTTAAAAAATGTATTTCAACAAGTAAAAAGAACACAGGTCTAGAGAACTGACTTAACACAACAGATTTATCCCATGCTTTTGGATTTTCCATTCAATCTTTCAAGATTTATTGCCATTCAGGTGGTGGCAGAATCTGTCATGTTTAAGACATACTGCCAAATGAGTGGCTCCCGACAAGGATACTCTAATATCATTTTGTCTGCTAAAAAAAATGAATTTGTGTGAAGTTGCTTTAAAAAAAAATAGAATTAGCGAAATGAAGTATCTGTGTTTTCCAAGTGTGGGTGAGTGAAAGCATTGAGTTTCTTATTTTACTTCATACTTCTGTATGATTTTTCCTAACATAGCATCTTCAACCTTCATTGTAGAGAAGAGCTCAAAGAATGCCTAACACTCGAGTTTAGATCTTATGCAGTAGTTGTTAGATGGAAAGAAATGGAGACAAAGGTAATTGTAGTAATGACTTAGATTCTGACAATATGGGTTGGGCTGAAATTTAAAAAAATGTTTCAATCGGATCATCCCTGTTTCGACCAGCCACACCTGGTTTCTGAAACTTGAAATATCACAAAAAATGTGTCATAAAATCCAAAGTATTTAGATTAATTGTCTCAAATAAAGACTAGCTGATGCATAATTGAATAGAACAGATTTGTGAATTATTTGAAATGGAGAGCACTATTGATGACCAAGTAGAAAAATGAGTATAAAATTTCATTTGTCAAAAATCTTCATGTATGTCTGGCATCCTTGAATATGGTGTCAGTTTAATACAGTGCTATTGCAATACTGATTCTTAAATAGTTTGGATGTACTCTATTCATTTCTCTTTAATCTGATATATTATATATCCCTATACAGTGATAAATTTTTCTTCAGGAAGGTATTGGTGCAGTAAAACAAAAATCTTCAGCTCCAAAATTAATTCTATCTAAACCTAAAAAAAAAAAAAGCCATCTCAAAAGAGTTATTATTTGTACTATGAGACAATCCACATTCGCTGGTCCCGTCGTGAGAAGAAGAAAACTGGAGTACACTGTGACGACATACGAGTACATTGTGATGATTCGCTGATCACATCATGAGAAAGAGAAAACTGGAGTACATTGCAATGATTTGCTGGTCATATCATGAGAAAGAGAAAACTGGAGTACATTGTGATGATTTGCTGGTCACATCATGAGAAGGGGAAAACTGGAGTACACTGTGACGATTTGCTGGTCACATCATGAGAAGGAGAAAACTGGAGTACACTGTGATTTGCTGGTCACATCATGAGAAAGAGAAAACTGGAGTACATTGTGATGATTTGCTGGTCACATCATGAGAAAGAGAAAACTGGAGTACATTGTGATGATTTGCTGGTCACATCATCAGAAAAAGAAAACTGGAGTACACTGTGATGATTTGCTGGTCACATCATGAGAAAGAGAAAACTGGAGTACATTGTGATGATTTGCTGGTCACATCATGAGAAAGAGAAAACTGGAGTACATTGTGATGATTTGCTGGTCACATCATGAGAAGGAGAAAACTGGAGTACACTGTGATTTGCTGGTCACATCATGAGAAAGAGAAAACTGGAGTACATTGTGATGATTTGCTGGTCACATCATGAGAAAGACAAAACTGGAGTACATTGTGATGATTTGCTGGTCACATCATCAGAAAGAGAAAACTGGAGTACACTGTGATGATTTGCTGGTCACATCATGAGAAAGAGAAAACTGGAGTACATTGTGATGATTTGCTGGTCACATCATGAGAAAGAGAAAACTGGAGTACATTGTGATGATTTGCTGGTCACATCATCAGAAAGAGAAAACTGGAGTACATTGTGATGATTTGCTGGTCACATCATCAGAAAGAGAAAACTGGAGTACATTGTGATGATTTGCTGGTCACATCATGAGAAAGACAAAACTTGAGTACAATGTGATGGTGGGGAAGTCTAAGAAGAAAAGAGGCAGGGGGAGATTGAGAAAGAAGATGTTTGACAGTGTGAAATTATGGCATGGAAGATCATCTTTGTCAGAAGTGACTGAAAGTACATGAGATAGAAGGTTGTGGACGCAACAAACTACTGCAGAAGGCGACCAATTATGGATATTCCTTTGAAGTCAGTTCATCTGCCGGAGAGGCAAGGAACAGACTGCATACATAAAAGCTAGGTCTGTAAAACAGATGTGGAACATGAAAGTTCATGATGTGACCAATTAGGGATATTCATTTGAAGTCAGTTCATCTGCCGGAGAGGCAAGGAACAGACTGCATACATAAAAGCTAGGTCTGTAAAACAGATGTGGAACAAGAAAGTTCAGAAATGGACCAACCACCAGAACTTTCTGTCAAAGTTTACAGCCAGTGAATGCTAAAAAGACAAAAACTCCAAGAGGATAAAAACCTAGGATAATTAAGCTGACAAAAAAGAAGAGGCAAGTCATAAAATAAAAAGCTGTACCGTATTTGCAACTTGATCTGCTTGCTTGAGTAAATTCTTGAGAGCGTTGATGCTCTCCAGCAGACTCTTCCGCTCCTCCTCCCAGGCTTCATGGTCAGCTGAACTGTCTCCTAGCCTGGCTGTAGCTAGATGTTTCTGCAGAAAATGCTTGTCTGACACACTTAGGAGATCTTCTCCCAGCTGGTTCAAGTGATAAAGCAGAGCCTGAGAAAGAAAACATAGATAAGCATTCTAAATTCTTTGAAGAGAGACATGGTGACAAGCAACAGACAGGAGCAGTTGTCATTGGGGGGGGGGGGGGGGGGGGGGGGGGGGGGTCCTCACATTATGAGACGAGGAAAACTTGAACAATTGACAACTAAAAAGACAGATGGATGGAGAAAACAGACGAAGAGAATGTGAGAAAATTTGTATGGCAGAAAACAGTCATTTCCAAAACTGGAGGCCAAGCAGAGAACTCAAGAGGAAGGACAGACAGACAGACACAGAGAGAGAGAGAGAGAGAGAGAGAGAGAGAGAGAGAGAGAGAGAGAGAGAGAGAGAGAGAGAGAGAGAGAGAGAAAGAGAGAGAGAGAGAGAGAGAGAAAGAGATGAAGAGAGAAAGGGAGAGATGAAAGCTGCAGGAGGTGTCATATATTTAAATAAAATGGCAGATAAAATAAAATTGAAGTCAAAAAAAAAAAAAAAAAAAACAAAATCCATGAAAAGATAAAGGCAGCTAGCAAGCTTTCATAAAACTGATGAAACATGAGTTACAGCAGAAATTAAAAAAAAAAAATTTTTAAATGACGGTACCTGTAACCGTTCAGGCATTCCATCACCACTGGACAACTGATAACTGTCCCAGACTTCTGTGCTTTGATCTCCAGCCTCGTGGTCTGAAACAGAGGAAAAACATTAATTCCTTTATGATCATTGGCACTTAAAGTCAATATATATATGGAAAAATATCTGTATCCAAAATGACAGGCACCGCATGAGACAGAAGGCTTACGCTGACCAAGCCCAGGCAACTTGGACTACAAGAAGATCAATCACATTAATCACAAATGTTTTCCTAGTCAACAATTCCCAAGTGGGTCTGGGGTCCCATCTCAAAGAGGACAACAAACAGTCACACTGCTCCTTAACAAGTATGTTGTAAAAGCGACTAATTAAGGATCTGCTGAAATTTGATGTGTGGGGGCCAAAAGAGGCAGATATCACAGCCTAGCTATAAACCACAACACAAAGTGTTAACCATCCTTTTAAGGGCAAACAAAGAGAAGGAAGAAGAATAAGTATTAAAGTATAAATCAATGACTTAAAAAAATGTGCTGTACTTAAACATGATCCATTACATGATATTTTCACTTATAACTCACCCTGAACTTTTCCAAAGCGATGAACTTCTTGCTTATCCGTCAATATTAGTTCATTAAATTGTTCCTGATGCTGTTCCTCAAGAGCTTCCTTCTGTTCGGACAGCAGCTGTTCCAGCTTCTGCTCCTACACGAAGAACACAAAATGTTTTATTTAACATACTATAATCTATACAAAATGACCTAGATAATATGGCAGTAAATATAGAGTAAAATGTAATTCAAAATGAAAAATTTGATTACCACAAGGCCAGAGAGTGTGGATCGTGTATTTCTGATATGAATCATCAGTTTTCTTTGTGGTTTGAAATCTTCTAAAAATTAAATTCTGTGGCCATCTGCCCAAGGCATAATTGACATTCTTGTACAGACCATTGGCATAACACATATGAAGTAATTTCTCACCTAATATTTTTATTAGATATAACTATAGGAGCGGGGTGAATTACAGATGGGAAGAAAATGTCAAGGTCAGCCTCTACTACAATATAAAGATGCATGCAAATGTTGGGAACAGAAAACTATGGACCGTGAGGCAGGGGGAGGAAAGGGGGGGGGGATCAGGACAGAAATAGGGACAAAGAATAAAGTGACTGCAAGTAGGTTCAACTCTTTGAGTCCCAAGAAACGCATCATACGTTCATAGGTTACTGCCTAGAAGCCCAATGAACGCATGATGCGCCGATTTTACCTCTCTCTTGACTACCCCTTGGGCCTGTGATGCTGAACCCTCTGGGACTCAAAGAGATAAGAGCTAAGACTCTGAGAAAAAGCACAATAAATTCATGCGCGGAGGGAAACAATGCTCCCGAAATACCATACTCTAACTGTGGAAGTCTTTCTCACTGTAAGGGAGGGGGGTCATGCTAGTCACATTGGCATTGATTCCTGTTCCTCCCTACAGCACAATATAACACTATCCTCTGGAAGGACGGAATGGTGCCAACAATTATTATAGTGCTAAAATTCCAGTAAGGTAAACATACTTTATGTTTATGTTTATTCAACGGATCTACATCACGGTACATGGGTGTAACCCATAAGAGCTCCATTCTACATTAAACTCAAGCCTGAGTCTGAAGAATCTCAGCGCAGTATACGAATTCCATTGCACCGGCGAGGATCGTGAAATACTTTGGGTAGATTTAGAACTCAAAATTTTGCCCGGGCGGCACCATTAGCCTACTCTTTTCGATTTCCAACTGCCAAGAAATTTTTTTTTTTCAACATGTGCAAGAATACACACAGGCGTCTGATCCTACTACCCAGAGACCCAAGGTGAAATTACTAAAAGTCCATGTGAAAAAATCCCAGCCTTCACTGGGGCTTGAACCTGAGACCTCCGGCACTCAAAGTGGACACATACCTCAAGACCACTCAGGCCCCGTTAAACATACTTTATCATCTCTTGTCACATGTAATATACAGACATTTTTATATGTTTTCATTGCAGTTCTTTCACAGCATTAAATAGGAGTCTGCTGGCAATGTTATTTCTTCTTCTGCCCTTTATTCCTCAATGTAGCATAGGCCCTCAACCAACTCCAGCTAAGTTGTCCTATCCTTCGCTATTTCACGTAGCGCAATTCATGTCCTCCCCATCGTTTTTAACTTCACTCTCTAGCTTCCTTCTCCATGTGCTGTTGGGTCTGTTTTTATGTGCACTTGTGGGTTCCAGTGGAGAGACATTCTAGTTATATTGTTCTAAGGTGTTCTGTGTCCTATCCTATGCCTGCATCTGTTCTTCACCTTTGATTCTCTGGAGATTGTTTAGTTGTCTCTCAATACTCATTATTAGTGATTCCATCATACCATTTAATTACCACTATTCTGGTCTATACTAATATAGGTCTAGCCCTATATGCCCTATACACCTAATGGTGTAGAAAAAGGTCCTTTACTTTTTTTTTTATAACTTTTTTTAATGAAAACTTCTCTTGCCTTTCCTAGGTAACAGGAGGTTCGTCAATGATCCTGACTCCATTCTTCCTGACAACAGAATGCCTAAAACATGCAGAGGTAACATTTTGAAACTAAGCCTAATCCCATCAATCTTTACGTGCTATGTTAAAACATTACCTGGTTACATCCTAATGAGCCTCTTCTCCACACATGTGATGCTCCAGTGCTGGCTGTGCACATCTGCTTGTTTTCTAGGCTTGCAGAAGGCAAAGAGAGCTCCCCAACAGTTTCCACAGAAATTACACTTTGGTGCAACATTAGAAAAATTGTCTTTATGCATCAATCCAATAAGTGCTAGCCAGTTCTGGGGCTTGAGGAAACTGAACACAAATCTTCTAAATGGTTCATAGCCGATTAACCTTTTCTTCTTTGCTATGAACTACAATTCTAGTGGTGGACTGTTGACATACCAACAGTGCCTTATGCATTTAATATGTGTGTGCGCCGTTGGCTTTGCCTAGACTGCAGTCTGTGTCAATATTGTCACAAGAGTGAACAATGGACATTCTGTGGGGTTTTTGCCGGCACAGGTGAGGAACAACCATTGGGTGACCCGTTTGTCATGTCATTGGAATGGCAGTTACCTAATTATTTCATCAACTTCTAACCTTAGACCAGCTTGTCAACACTTACATGCAGGAGATACACCATTTCCATTTACCTGTAGCTGTTTCTGTTGCAGGATATCATGATCATGTTGCTCACTGAGTGCCTCCACTCTGCTTTCTATCTCACTGTCAAACTTTAATTTCAGGGTGGAGAGTTCCTCTTCTCTAGCCTTCAGCATCTGCCTGAGTTCTTCCACTTCCTTCTCCACAGACAGTTTGTGTAATCTGCCAGCATCACCACCACCAACTTCAATTTCTTCCATCTGGCTTTGCTGCATTTCTTCAAGAGCTGTAAATAACAATATACACCAATGTAGGAAAACAGTAAATGCAGTCTCATCATAAATAATAGTATATAAATCTTATAAAAACCATATTGGAGAGAAAAGTGGAAGGCTGGCTGGCAATCATTGGGTGTACATCGATTCAAGTGTAAGTTCTTCTTTTTAATATTTGCCAGCTGTAAACTCCAGCAGAAAATTCTGGTTTTCGTCCATTCCTGGACTTTTGTCTTGATCCGGAAATTAAGTCCTGCATGCATATCCATTTGACAGATCTGGTTTATCTATGCTGTTTGCAGACTGTTGGTTCCTTGCATCTCAGGCAGATGCACTAAGACTTGCAGCAAAACACTTCTATTTAGTCATCTTCTACAATATGCTAGTGAGGGGCAGCAGCAGAGCAACTAATAAATATATGGTTTAAGGTAACTATGCAGTGGATACCATCCCACTGCGGAGTTCCCAGAAATGATAGAGCTCATAAACTCTAGCTAAGGAAGGTGCAAATGCAATCTGACGTACAAGTCTCTTATCAACAGAAGAAGAGAACAATCAAATTAATCAGAAAGCCACCAAAACAGGCACAAGATGATTACCATATTTTGGACAGACCAAAGCAAGTCATTATTCTACATCTTAAAACCAGACACAGTCTACTTTGCAGCCACATGTAAAGAAAATTTAAAATTGGTGAATCAGCCATGTGGACCTGTGGATTGGCACTGGAGACAACAGATTATGTCCTCCAAGACTGTCCCAAATACAAGGTATCAAGGCAAAACTTTTGGCCAAGAGAAACATATGTGCAAGCAAAATGTTACAGTCTGTTGAGTGAATTATAACAGACAGTGAAGTTCATACTAGAGACAACAATGCAGACATAGATAATCTATTTCAAGCGAACTAAAGAAAAAGAGACAGAAGTCTGCAAACAGATCTGTAAGCCACTTATGTAAAACAGATGTGCATGAAAAACTCAAGTTCTGGAACAAGAGTTTACAGCCAGTCATGGTGAAGAAGATGCCACTGCTGTATGAGGGATGTAGAGAAGGTGGAGTTACACCAGAACCTGATACTGGTCAAGACCTAGCATGAGAATGGAGGTGGAAGAGGTAACTGCAGCTCTCTGGTGGTAGAGAACAAAATGCATACAACTGTCGTAATAGTAACAGATTCTGAAAGCATGCTGAAAAGAGTGAAGACAGGGATGCTTCGAGCTGAGTGGCAAGCTTCACTAGAAAAGTCACGGGTAGTGAGCATACTTTGGATCTTTTTCTCCATGCCATGCTGGTGTGGTGGTTAGAAAGATGTGGCAGAAAGATTGGCTGGATCTGCACCACAAGGTGGTGAATTGATACAAGACAAGGCAGATGTGGTCAAGGCCCTTTGGGAACAAGCAACGGAATCAGTAGAGAAAGAAGGTTATTATGGCCTGAAGAGAATGAGGCACCTGGGTGTAACCAGAGGGTCTGGCCGGCTGATTACACTCAGAAGAAAGGCAAGACGGACATTTAATTGATTGTGCCCACTACCATCAGTATTGGAACTCTGCGCTGGCTGCTGAAGATGAGGATGGAGCATGCATGGGAATTCCCTGAGTGCTGTGATGTCAATTCTTGACTCAACTCAGCTTAATTGGGCAAGATCTATATATACCCCTCAACAGTCATCCTAAAAAATATAGGTTTCCTACTGGGAGTCTGGTCAATGTAGATAGGATCAATGTCTTTTCTGAAGTAAGAGTGCATCTGCCTGAGAGGCTATAAACTAACAGTCTGCATTAGTGATTAGTAAGGATTATCATCACAGCATTCTGGAAAGATCTCCTCCTCAATAGTAAGTGTAAAACGACTAACTACCCCTTTTCTGTGTTAATTGATGAAACGTCTAGTCCTATTAGAGAAATATTCATTTCTCGCAGCTTAGGGCTGTACCCCTGTCTATCACCCTAGAAAGGGATACAGAGTCATATCCTTTGGCGTGCTCCTAGGTACAGCAAGTGCTGAGCATGAATTTCATAACATAGTTTCGGTCCAGTACTGAACCAGTCATAGCAACCACAGTGTTGACAAGATGATCTGCACGCTTATTCCCTTGAACACCTGCATAACCTGGCACAAAGATGAAGGTTATGGCAGCCATTCGGGAAGTGCTAAGTGTTGCAATACTCAAGCCAAGAAGAAGACAAATGACCAGGAATTTCTGTCAGAGTTTACAATCGGTGATCGCTAAGGATAGGAAGAAGAAGAAAATGACTGCTTTTGTATGATTAAAAAGAAATTTCACGGTTTCCTGGTCACTTACCAGTATGAGCCTTCCTCAGCTGCATTTTCAGATGTGAAATGGACTGTTTGGTTTCTGGAGACAGAGATTCACCCTGCATGGCAGAGTTTCTGGAGGGAGAAGATGGACCACTCCCAGATGCTGACTTTAAAATGTAAATCTGCTTTTCCAGCTCGGTAATTGTATGATCCTTGGTTGAAAGTGCTTCATAGTGAGAAGTCTGAAGTGACTGTATCTGGTTTCTGAGGGATGAAATGGTGTCTTCCTTCTCTTTCAGCACAGCTTTGATGGTTTCAATCTCAGTTTGGTAAGTTATAATTGTTTCTTCCTTTTCCTTTAAAAAAAAAAAAAGTATAAAACACAATTACAATTCAACTAGATTTATGTGACAGGCTTCGCCTGGGATAATAAAATTTTTTTTTATTCTCCTGTCCTCTTATGTTATGTTATCATAATCGATGTCTTTTGCACATTGGGCGTTCCCATGCGTGCTCAATCCTCGGATGCAGCAGCCACTCCAAGGTACCCCTCTGACTGTTCCCATGAAGAGTTGGTTATAGTATCTCCTGTATTTACCTCAAAGACCACATAGATGTGCTTCACCAATTTTAACTCCTCGATCATGCAATCATGTTAGCATCAGAGATTCAACATCATTATCTCCCAACCTAGTCCGTACATTGTTGATGATATCAGTTCTATCCATGCTTCTTCCTATTTGCATTAGTGCATTACGTACCAGCTCTTTCATTACCATTTTCTCCTGCGTGCCCAGGTATGTAGATCCAAATGACAAAGGTTAACATTCTATTTCCGAATGCTTTCTACCTATCTGGAGTGTAGAGTAACTGATATCATTTTCTGAAGCATGTTCATGGAGTTTGAAATGAGAACTGCATGTGTGGCCGCTTGTTCTTCAACCCATGTGAGTGCTCTGGAAACAGAAGTTATCTCCATGGTCATGCTTGACGTAGTTGTCCTCTACATCATTTTGGTCTCCACCATTGCTGTATGTGTGGTACAAACTCCCTAGAGCAAGCACAACATGAGCCTTTTGTCTTTAAATTTCTCCTCAACCCATCAATGTCCCATTTCAGTGCATGTTTTGTGATTCTCTGTTCGTTTCTTCTCAGAATTTTCTGTAACAAATAATTTTTTTTTAAACGGCGTGTGGGAGCTTTGAGTTACAGCCCAAAGTGGTGTGGTAGGAGCCGCAATGACCAGTTCCTTAAACAGTTAGCACTACCACCAACTTACTGATTACTGATTTAAGAATCGACAAATTGAAATCATAGCACACTGGACACACCCATAGATGCTCCATCTCCCGCAGCAAATACCTAAAGGTGTAGATGCTAACTGTTCTCACATGTTGTTCTCTTCCTCTCATCTGTCCCTCCTTGCCAGGTCCACACTTAATTCCTCATTCACACATTCTTGCACATGTTATTTCATCTAATCTCGTGTCTTCTGTCAACAGTATTTCATATATGGTCTTCAGAATATCTGCCTCATCCAGTACGAGTGTTCCCGTGGCTTTTGCTTTTGTAGCCAGAAAAGTCGCTTTTTCATTTCCTCGCACTCCTGCATATCCCAGACAGTATATCCACAGGATTCCCTGCAATGCTGGGATACTGATGCATGGTATTCACTCATGCCAAATTATTCCATTAACCAACTTAGCGTAGTGACTTACGGTTACAATTCTGCATGTTGGCAATCACCCAAATCTGGCCTTTAAAGTGACCACTTCCTCTAACGCCCCTATCTTACAATCTAAGTTTCAAGGGAGAAAACAGTGAAATGCAATTTTCAAAAATTAATGAAAAGGACATAACAGAAAAGAAAATATTTAAAAAGATATAAATGCAGGAAAAGTTTATTTTTACTGATTGTGGCATTAAATAATAGAAATACACACAAACCAGGTCGCCATTGCAACTGTTGAACTGAACATTGGAGCTATAATGGCAACTGAAAATCTATAACCAGTCAAGTGATCATGGTTTGGGAGAAGTTAATAGTGGAATCAAAATGTGCATACAAATTAAAGGAAGGCATCTTTGCTTTAAAGTATAGATTTGCATGTTAATACGATAGTCATCCCCATGTGGGATGTAATTTTTTGTTGAGTCGGATTCGCAACTCCTAAGCCACAGATGCCGCTAGAACAATGTATGTGAATATGTTTTCAAAGAAAACTGCAACTGAAACATTACGTGCACACAGTTGATCTTACTACTGTCTTCAGAATATGCAAGGCACAAGAGGTGAAGACATAAAAATACATGCAGAAATGAGTTGCAGAGAGATTAATAACCTGAGAGCTCAAAAAACTGCAGGAGATTTCAAAACTGTATGTGTGTGAGTTGTTTGGAAGAATTTGTTGCAATTTGGTAATACATAAGAAAAGAGAACAAGAAGACTGTCTCTTACCTTGATAGTTAACATCACAGAATCTTGACCTTTCCCCATCCTAAGCCACCTTTCCAAGTCTTGTCTCAGTTTATCCAACTGTTTGTTTTTCTCGGCCAGCTCCTTCCGCTGCTTTTCTGTCCACCTTTCAGTCTCAGACACACTGTAATGAAAATGCCTACTATCCCTATTGCTCAAGGACAGCACTGCTGGTGCTGACTCCCATCGAGACATCCCAGTGCCTTCTCCTGCAAACCTGATCCCTTGTAGTGGTAGCGATGCTGACATGTCAACTGCTCCTGAAGTTGCAATATACTCTCTGGAATTAATTGCCTCTCTCAAATCATGCACTTCGCTTTCTAGTTTTATAATGATCTCCCTTGACTCTGTAGCAGTTAATGCCTCTTTAGCTGCAACCTCTTTGGCCTCTTTGAGTTGATGCTCTAGCTCTTTCACAAACATGTCTCTTTCAGCAGATTCTGCATGCGGCTGATCACTAACTAGCTGCAAATTCTGAACCTCATTCTGAAGCTTCTGTATTTGCTCTTCTCTTTCAACCAGCTGCAGAGAAACTTGAGAAAGCTTTTCTTCAGCTTGCTTATGTTTTTTAGACGTATCAGTTAATTCCTCAGCAACCTGAAGCAGTTTTTCCTTCAACTCTTCAACTTCCTTTCCTGCCTCAGACTGTTTAACCAACTGGGCTTGACTACTACGATCAATATCTTGTTCCATCTGAAGAACTTCTTCACTTATTCCTTTCTTAAGATCATCATACTTTTTCTGCAAATTGGAAAGCATCTTGTCCATTCTCTGCAACTGCTGATGGAAATCTGCTTCCATGACATGTTTCTCTTCAAGAATCCTTTCCTTCTCTTCTGTCAAATCTAAAATACATGATTGTCTGAATCTCAACTGTCCCTCCAGCTCTGTTATGTTCATTTCTTTTATTTCAATTTGACGTTTCAGATCTACAACTTCAGCCACATCTTGCTGTTCCACTGTGTCAACCTTTTTTGAGCTGGAAAATGTCTCCACTCCATTTTCTTGACATTCCAACTGTGTTGAAGTATTTTTAACAATCTGCTCTTCAGAAGCAGCTTCTTTCAAATCTGCTTGCAGACTCAGTATCAAATCATCTTTTTCTTTCATGTGAAGCTTTAAACTTTCAATTTCCACTGCTAGTACCTTATTTTCCTCAGAACTAATCAATTCAGCTGACTGCTGCTTTGCTTTTATCTCCTCCCATAATTTAGCATCTGACTCTGCCTTCACTTTTAACTCATGCAGTTCCAGTTCTAGTGCTGACATCTTTATTTCCTGGTCATTCCTCAAGCTATCTTGTTCTGCTTCTTTCTGTGACGTCATGTCAATTTTTTCTTGATTTTCCTCAGCGTTTTTCACAACCGTCACGTCTGCTGCAACAACTTTCTCCAATTCTAATCTCAGTTTCTGTTCCTTCTGGAATTGTTCGGTTATTTCAGTAAGCTTCAACTGAGTTGTTCGCAGCTCTTCCTTGATATTTCCCTGGAAATAAAGAACATATTGCTGCCATAAATCACCCTATAATAACTAAATTAAGCATTTTAAAACTTTTAAAAATGTACTTTTTTTAACAGCCTCAATATTGGAATACTAATTTTCATTATTTTGTGTGTGTGTGTGGGAAATTAATATTTCTCATCCTCCTCTACACACATATATACACACACACCATACACATATGTTCAAATTTAGATCCATATTTTAAACAAAAAACTGTTTTATAAATCAAAATATTGGGTCACAATTAATTACCCAAATATTGTAACCTCTCACTGTTATATACCAAAAATATTTTCTAATGAATGTATTAACATTCAGGGTATTTTGTCAATATACTGGTTGCTGAACCCTTTCAAAGCTTATACAACTCACAGTCCATGGGGACTGTGCTGAACTCAACTTTCCCTCGTCAAGCTAAAAAACAAATTTACCATTAGTGACTTGAGAGGATTATCATCACAGCACTCCTAAGAGATCCATGGGTGCTCTCTACCTCAATAGCTCCACAAGTGTAACACAACTGATAACACCTGATCTGTGCTAACTTTTGTGTTTGAAGTCAGACTGCATATGCCTGAGAGGTGACAAACCAACAGTCTGAATACAAATAAGCCAGATCTGTAAAATGGATATCCCCGCAAAGCTCAACTTCCAGAAACCAAAGTCCAGAAGTAGATGAACAACCACAGCTTTCTGCCAGAGTTTACAGCCAGAAAATGCAAAGATGATGGAGATACTCAGTTTAAAATAAAACAGAGCAATAATCTTGACTTGCTTTATCCCTAACATAAGTAATGTACTAAACGCGAACACAACCAAATGACAACACAGAAACACAAATCTTATGCAGCAAACAAAAATCTCCTAAAATGGTTAGGCTGAAGAACTGCAGATTGCTACCACTATATAGACCACAAAAAACATTGCCACTGGCTAACACTCTAGAAGCACACCACAGGGGTGGAAACTTCTAGAAGTGAGAATACTTGCTACAATACTGGTAGCCAATGCTGAGCAACAAACATCATGCATATTACTAAATCTCTTCTGAAACCTTTATCGTTATCTTTATACTGAAATTGATAAAATAAAGGTAAAAGGACCATCCTCATTTTTATAGACCAAATAGTATTAATATTTTCTAATGGTATTCTAAAGGCAACATCTTTACTTCCCAAGATATTTTCTGGCATCAATTTTAAGCTGGGTTGGTGTGGGAGCAAAGGTATCTTTTTCTTCTTAAAATCTGCTTAGTGTAAATTTGAATCCAAAACCTTCAGGTCTGCAGGCAAGTGTTTAGGCACTCTAATACCATATATTTACTTTTAAATCTGTCTGACAGAGTAGTAGGATGCCATTAAATTGTACAAGGCATATAATGTTACCGAAGCTGCCATGGTGTTGCAGCTAGATGCATGCCTGCAGATAGAAGTGTCATGAGTTCAGGTCCTAACAAAACCTAGATATTTTTCAAAAATTATCTTGGCTTCCAGGTAATCCCAGCCTTAAATAGGTACCAGGTACAGTCCTGGCAAGTAAAGGCAATCGGCACAATGTTGACCACATCACCCACCGAGGGCGGATTGGTCTGTAAAATATAGGGCTAGCCCTCTCTGCCCAATACGCGTAAAGGTGTGGAAAAGGATCCTTTATTTCACTTATATGATGCTACACAAATATATTCTATTAATGACATGAAAACTACAAGTTTTATATTTAATATAGCTCCAGTTTCTCAGACAGAGAATACAAAATCGAGGATCTATGTGCAGGTTTCATATAATTAAAAATTCATCAGGAGTTGGACATTTGAAAATAAACATGGCTGAATACATAATTTTAATTGTCAACCTATCCACATCAGAATAATCATAACTTTGGTAATTTAGTAAAAAAAAAAAACATTTCTGGATCACCAGAATGATGCACATTATGCAACACGATTCCCATGTCATTAGAAGATGTTATCTGTTGTTATACACAAACAAAACCATGCAGGTTGCACACTCAGTTAGCTATAATCAATGAATTAACACTGTTTTAAAAAATGAAAAGAAAACAAAAAATGACCACTCAATGCTGAAGACAATTTATCCCATATAATGTTGAAAAAAAAAAAAAATGCACACAAAATCTAGACCCATTCCACCAGATAATAAATAAACTGTTTGTGACACAGGCCATTTTGGACTGCCTGCCTTACATGATTCATCAAATCTCTTATTCCTAAGAACTAGAAGGAAAAATGTTTTAAAATTATCTCAGGCGAATGTTTACATACCACAGGTATCAACCATTTTAAGAAAAAGAAGATGGTGATATTCTGGGCACATCCTGAGAAGCAGACAGTGAATGACCAAACAGTTACTGAAATGGGAATCAAATTGATTGAAGAAACAAGGATGTCCAAGAAAAACCATAAAAAGAAAATAGACAACAGAGGCAAACGGAGCTGGACCAGATACTATATGTGATATCAAAATAAAAGCACAGAACAGAACTTAATGGAGGAAAAATTTGCAAGCCCTATTTGACACAAAACTGCAAATAAGATGTTGATGATGTTTGTATCAATGTATACTCAACCGCATCACCACTTTTCCTGTACAGCCTCATAATATAAATTAATAAAAAAAAATATAAATTAATCATTGGTGTGATACATCTGTGGCTCAGGGGTTATGAATGCAATGTCACAATTCTAACAACAAATGCCTAAGAAAATCCCTAATAGCTAACAAATGCTGGGATGGTTTGTAAAAGATATGCAGCTAACTTACATTACATGTATTTAATTATGAAATTATCTTTATAAGTATAGTTCCATTTTTGTTGTAAGTCATTTTATTTATATATATTTTTAATGAGCACAAAGGTATCGTAACAATCTCTAACGTCATGACTGAATGTCATGATTTATTTTAAAAAGTGGAAGATGGTAATTATTTTTATGCTAACTATCCAAGATAATGTTAACTAATTGACTTTGACCAATTATTATGTTACAATAAATTAACAGATGGTTTTAACCTGACTACCTGACTGACTTCCTGTTTTACAATGCATGCGATGAAAATGTGTCTACGGTGACAGATTATTTCACACGAATTTCACATTGATCAGCGAATAGTGAGGACTAGCAATCCAGCTCTACAGACAGATCCACCTGTGCTCTATCTCCTCCTCAACAGCTTTAAAAGTGTAAAGTAACTGATCATTCCATTTCTATGTTAATTAATCAAACATATTGTGCCTTTACTGAAATGTAAATGCCTGGCAGCTCCAGGCTGCAACCTCAATATTGAATTTTACATTGATTTTGACAGTCCCCCTATACAAATGCCAACTTTATGTATAATGTCACAGCAAGTAATTCCACTACCTGCTCATATTTTCCCAGAAAAATTAAATTATACATCTGTTGCAGGAGACAATGGGGAAAAAAATTCCGTAACAAACAAAAAATGTATAGGTGTATAACTATACATTCCTTATGAAGCATATATATTTTGAAAAACTAGTTTCAGTGTAATAAATAGAAATGGCAGGTAACATTAAGTGACTATCAGTTAGATGTTACATGTTTTCACAACGGTTGTACTGAAGTTCATGAAACTGTTTTTTATGTAACATTATAGATGTAGGAAGGAGAAATTTCAATTATGGTCTACAACATGCTCTGGTAAATTCTGCACCATTAGGGAAAAAAATTGTTTGAGCTGCAAACATAGTTTTTAAGAATAATTTTAAAACACCCAAAAGAGGCCATTAAAATATGAAGGAGACTTATGGACATAAACAAACAGTCAAAATTCAGGAGGCACAGCTACACAAGTGCAGAAAAGGAAAAGAAGGGAGGAAATGTAGCACTGTTCTGTCTCGTGCCGTTAGTCAATTTAACAATTTTAACAGTAGCTTACTAATTCTATAAACACACACCGGGCATGCACACTCACGCATGTGCACACATACACACACAAGAAGGAGAAGAACAAATCCATCACTTAAGCCACTTGAGAAGTGTAAGACAAATACAGGTAATCAAATCAGTTAATCACAATTTTGACTTCACAGCAAATGGGTCACATCACCCACAAATGTTTAATTCCTGTGCTAATGAAAAACCAGAGAGAATGTCTATCACTACCCCTTGTGACAAAACTAGCCCAGATTGCAGCTGCAGCAAAGCTTATAGAAAACACATGCAGTAAATGCATAAGGCAGCCGTCAGACGTGCTAACATTAACAGTCTACAAATGCAGTCCATCGGCCCATTTTGGTATCAGAAGGTTGATCTGCAGCTGTCTAATGAAACATGAACCACAAAAGCAAAACGAGCTTGAGTGTATTACATTCAAAGAGCTTTAAACTGTATTCTTGCCTGGTGGACTTGGGTTCAAATCAAGACTAGGGTATATTTTTAATAATAGACCTTGGCATACTAGCCACCCTTTAGAGGGTGACTGCAGAAAAAGACAAAATGTAAAATATGATAATGAACTATTTTTTTTTTTTTTAATAAACCATACAGTGTGTTGCTTGATAAAGAGTTATGCTGTAATATATACATCTGAAATATGAAAGATGCAACATTTGGTTTTTAATTTGTTTCGCTGATGGAAGCAGCAATTACAGTAGATCAGTAGTTGCACACCCACACACTTAACCACATAAGGTACCATCAATTCTCTGGCAACAATCCACAAACAATTTTCTGAATCTGCGGTTTACAACATAAACTATATTGGGCACAGTCAAAAAGCATTATAAAATAAATCTGTAGCTTTCAGGGTTGCACCATGCACCAAAGTCAGTTGCTGAGCAATGGCAAGTATAACTTTGCAATCTACATATGGAGGAAAATTCAAAGGCTTATTACTGTCAGAAGCAAAAACTTGAAAAAACAGTAAGGCTGCTAATCCACCATACTGACCTGAAGTCAATATAAAAAAAAAACAAGGAGACGGGGCTACAAACTGATAACATTGTGACGACGTAAGAAAAAGCCACTGGGAGACAATAGAAAAAACAAACTGCCCTATAAAAACAGTCGTTTTAACACCACTTTATGTGATTAAGTTCTCACTGTAATCCCCCAAAATAATGCAATACTCTCCAAATGAAAATACGTTTGGGTTTGATTCATAGCGACAATGATGATTAAATGATAGAAAATTTAATAGTTGGATTAGAGACTGTCATGCCATTCAATACAGTGCATTTTTTAAGATTCTGTTATGCAAAGAAATGTCATGCATTTGGTTAATTAAGACAAATAAAATAATGCAGATGATTTTGCCATAATGTGAACATTTACAATGCCATTTTAAAACAGACAACTTTGAAACGGAAACAACTCTGAGTTAAGCTATATCTGACTTTCATACAGCCACAGTAGACATTTTGAAGCTTTGAATGAAATAAGCAGCGAGGAAAGTGGTTCACACATGAAAGTTTACATGCATCAAAATATAGTATCAGGAAAAAAATTATAGAAACAGATTTGAATAAGTATGTTTCAGACTAATAAAAAATTTAAGTATATTTCTATATATTATATATGTACAAATGAGGTGTCCATGGTAATGTGGTTAAGCTATTTCCTATTCTTGTAGTTCAGTGTTGGTGTTGCTTTAGTTACAAAGCTTGTATTTACTGCATTTACTACTCATTACAATATCTGCTCCCCATTTTAGTCCGGATGGACAGGGATATCAAGATCAGTTACAAAAAATATCGTCAGGTGATGACTTTCAAATCCTTCAAAGAGGTAGAGAGCAGTAGTCGGTGGATGGGGGAGGGGAGTGGGTGATGACAGAAATTGTTAACTTGAAGAGCTTAACACATAATTTTAAAGTTTTCATTTCTTAATTTGTTTTATTTTACTAAAGCTACCTCAGCTATTATCATTTTGTGTGTGATTTAAAAGTACAGTAGTGAGCTTTACTTCCGGTTCTTTAAAAAATACAGCTTTAGCATGTGATAACAAAATAACCATAATTAGAAGTCCTAATAATACAATTTAAACGACTACTATAATGACACAATTATATGTTGCATGTTCTCGAGTCAGCAAACCAGATTATCTCTGTATCTGCGCAGGCAATGATTGCGACATTAACCATATTAGACATGTGCGATTTATATTATCTTTCTTTTAAAAAAACCTTCGATGGGTTAGAGAGTAATCGGTGGATTTGGGGGGCATCGAAGGCTATCTCTATATTTGCGCAGGCAATGATTGCGACATTAACCAAATGAGACAAGTGCGATTTCTATTTTCTTTCTTTTCCATTTAGCAAAAATATTCCACAGCAACGTGTAGCCGGGCACAGCTAGTGTGTGTGTGTGTGTGTGTGTGTATATATATATATATATATATATAGTTGCGTATCCTTTCAAGGACGTTGCAGAATCAGCCCCAGGTGGTTTATCAGTAAGGCCAGCAGCTGGGATCGAACCTGGCACCCCGGCATTATGAAGCATGTTCACAATGCCTAAGCCACAGACGCCACCATATATATATATAAATGTTAGGATAATTTAAAACAAAACATCAAGGTACTTTATTTTGTTTTTCTAACAGTATCTGTAATAAGTGGAAATGTCTTTACTAATTCTGCAAAGTTTATAATTATAAATAAAAGAAAAAAAAAATATATGACAAAATACAGAGTTAATATTAACATATAAATAAAACAAAAACCATTTAATTCTATCCTTGTGAGAGAAAAAAGAGTCAATGATGCATTGTCCTTTAAAAAAGAATCAAGCGGACCGCATTGGCTAAAAATTCCCTTTTGCCAAATTTAGTTTTGAAAGGTCATGGTTAAAGCAAATAACTAAATAAGTATAGATCAATGTAAGAAATGATGTGGTGAGCACAGACACCTCTACAACAGGAAATGCTACATGCATCATAATGCGATGATAGGGAATAGATCACAGGTAGAGAACTCTACCATTTCTTCCAGCTTGTCATGGAGTTCGTAGAGTTCCTCTTCCTTCTCATCTACAACATACTGCTTTTCAACCAGGTCTTTCCTCAGGGAGGCAACCAACTTCTCTAGTTGTAGCTGAGGTAAAATGGGCAGTCACAGATTTTTAACTTTACTTTCTTTATGAGTTTCTTTAATAAATAAACAGAAAACTGAGAATGACAATGGACAGGTAAGTGATAAAATATTTTGCAGTTGAAAAGGCATGAATATGAACAAAAACCAACTACTGTATATGATGGAAAACATCTATTTTGTTAAGAATATCGTGAACAATGCATACTAAAACTCACTGTAGCAGAATGTAATTTTGACAGGGGGAAAAAAGGAAATTTATGTAAATTATGAAGAAAAAAAATATTTAAAAATCTTATTTGATTCTTGTCCTTTCTGCATTCCCTGGCTTTATCTTTCCCTATCATTAGGAAGTCTTTGAGTGGTGTTCATGCACTGTTATTACATTAATCCATTGTTTACTCTTGTCCTTTTTCTTCTTGAGCCTCTGAAGTTCAGTGATACAGATATTCCCCCATCTTCATTACACTACTGACCTCCCTATTTTAGCTGGCTACTGAGTATTTGTAAGTCTGCCTTTTTATTATCTCTCAACCATCTTCTTGGTCTGTCTCGTGGTCTACTTCCATTCATCTCTTGTATTGGCAGTTTAAAAAAAAAAATCCTGTTGTGTTATCTGCCATTCTCTCCGTATGAACCATCCACTAAAGCAGGGCTATTCAACTAAGTTTACTCAGGGACCAAAAATTGGGAAAATGGTGATCATCATGGGCCAGAGGCTTGAGCTCCCAGCACAAAAAGATCATTAATACAAAACAAATGGCAGTGACCGTGGACCACTTGATGAATTTCCAAAGGCCAGATCTGGCCCATTGACCACCAGCTGAATAGCCCTACCCCACAGTCAATTAACATTAAGGATGCCAATGATTTCCATGGATTACAAATGTTGTTCTGGTTTCTCAGTAACCATTCTCCGCTTTAAAAGAAAAAATCTTTAATGGGTCCAATGAACCATAAAAGTGTTTTTAAAAGTTTTTGCAATAAGACTTCATCTTTTGTAGTTGTACTCCAGGTTTCAAAGCCATTAAGGGTTATTGGTTGCTCTGTTTACTCTGCTCACTAACCAACTATCAGTGCTGTACATGTTTGATATGCAGAGGTTAACCCATCGTCTGTCTCTTATTCTGCTCTGAAATATCTAATTGTCAATGCAGTGCATAAACACTGTGTGGATGTTAACCCATCAAATGCAGAGAATATCTCTTTCCTCTTTGTTTCAAAATCGCAGTATTTTTCTTTATAAAACTGACACAAACATGACTTATGTCATTCAAGTACATTTGATGAAAGTATCATTATTATTTTTCATCACACAATGCACATTTAATACAAAATACATTTTCTTTAGGACCAGATCAACAGTAAATTCTTGACTGAACTGTGTCAGTCTGGAAGCTCACATTTGAAAAAGTATCACCTATTCTTTACCCATAGAAACATGTTTGACATAAATATCATTTTGATTTATAGTTTTTAAAAAAAATTGCAGTCAATCCAAAATTACCTCTTTCCAAAACAAAGGCTCATGTTTAATATAAGCATCACTGTTGCCTAGTTGGACAGCATACTGAAGAAACATATTTACATCCAGCTCAAAAGTGCATGTCTGAAGCATTTATAATTTCTTTCTTTACCGCCTAAAGTCAGAATTCAGTAAACTTGAGGCTCTAGTTTCTCCTGAAGTTCAACTGGGGTAAGCCAAACAGTAAAGTGTTTATTATCATCTTCTAGCAGTTTTTGTTTAGCTGTAATTGTATCAATTCCAGTAACATATATATCACTCTGTTGAGAGACGAACAAAAACAGCAACAAAATACTCACTATTTCATGAAGTATGTCTGGATTACCCTTGCCCTCTGAGAATTCTTTGGCAATGTTTTCAAGTTCCTTCTCCTTATCTTCCAGCATTGACTGTACTGTATCAAAATCTTTTTGTAGCTCATGCTGAAATTATAAAAATTTTCAAAATTGTTAAACACCACACAAACACTGGTTTAGTTTTTACAGGCTATTGTTTGTTGTCATGGCCTTGGATGTACAGATGGCCGGGAACACAAACACACAATCACTGGTTTATTTTTTACAGACTAAAATTCTTTTTTAGTCATGGCCTGGGATGTACAGATGGCCAGGCACACAAACACACAATCACTTGTTTATTCTTTACAGACTACAGTTCTTTTTTTAAGTCATGGCCTAGGATATACAGATGGCCAGGAGGTTACTAAAATCACCCATCAAGTGTCTGTACCCATATATGTCTAAAACCATGTGCCTGATGCATCAATGGTGAGATGAATGTTCTTTATTTCACAGTTTGTAAAGTCTATACAACTATGCAGGTATCATAACATTTTTTTTTTTCAATTTCCTTCATTCTAACATATATACAACATTAAAAAGTTATTCTAGCATAAATAACCCTGGAAAGTCATTCTAACATACACAACCTTAGAAAGTCATCCTAACATACACAACCGTAGAAAGTAATTCTAACATATATTTATATAATAATAAGAAAAACTCCATAGGGGGGCATGCACAGCAGAAGCTTTACAAAGAAAAAGTCCCCCGGTGACAACTGTTTCAGCTCATTAACCTCCTAGACAATCTCAGAGGGTGGGCCAACCTGGGTCATGACTCCCAGGCCTTGGCCTCTCTTGCTGCGCTTATTGGATGACACGAAATGGTGGCAACAGGTATTGTGAGGTTTGGTGTTATATATTGTCGCCGTGGTAGCAAATAAGCCACCTACCTTTAGGACCACAGTGACAAGTGGCCGGTTGGATCATCAGACAAATGTTAGACTTTGACATTCTTTGGATCATCAGACAGATGTTAGATTTGAGATTCTTTGGATCATCAGACAGATGTTAGATTTGAGATTCTTAGGATCATCAGACAGATGTTAGATTTGATATTCTTTGGATCATCAGACAGATGTTAGATTTGATATTCTTTGGATCATCAGACAGATGTTAGATTTGATATTCTTTGGATCATCAGACAGATGTTAGATTTGATATTCTTTGGATCATCAGACAGATGTTAGATTTGATATTCTTTGGATCATCAGACAGATGTTAGATTTGATATTCTTTGGATCATCAGACAGATGTTAGACTTTGACATTCTTTGGATCATCAGACAGATGTTAGATTTGAGATTCTTTGGATCATCAGACAGATGTTAGATTTGAGATTCTTAGGATCATCAGACAGATGTTAGATTTGAGATTCTTAGGATCATCAGATGTTAGACTTTGACATTCTTTGGATCATCAGACAGATGTTAGACTTTGAGATTCTTTGGATCATCAGACAGATGTTAGACTTTGAGATTCTTTGGATCATCAGACAGATGTTAGACCTTGAGATTCTTTGGATCATCAGACAGATGTTAGATTTGATATTCTTTGGATCATCAGACAGATGTTAGACTTTGACATTCTTTGGATCATCAGACAGATGTTAGACTTTGACATTCTTTGGATCATCAGACAGATGTTAGACTTTGACATTCTAACATTTAAAACCTTAGAAATTCATCCTAGTATAAACAACCTTAGAAAGTCATCTTAACATATACAACTTCAAAAAGTAATTCTAACATAAACAATCTTATAAAGTAATTCCAACATATGCAACCTTAGAAAGCATAATGTCCAGTATTATCAATGTACCTGAAAGGAGGTCAGGCTTGAGATTTCATGCTGCAGGCTGTCTATCTGAATTATCAACTGCTCCAGTTTATCCTCCTTTTCATGCAGCAGCTCCTGAGACCTGTCTCTCTCTTCGATGACCTGATTTATAAAAGACCAACAACAACTTTGTGTACACACCAAAAATAAATACAAAAATACACATATTTCAAAATACCTTGAAAGATAGAATACACTGACACCAACTACTTTCTATATAGAAAAGAGAGAGATCAACAACTTGCTATACATAAAACAGACAAACTAACAACTTGTCATACAGAATAGAGAGAGACAGAGAAACCAACAACTTGCTGTAGTACAGAGAGACCAACAACTTGCAATATAAAATACAGAAACCAATAAAGTCGCTAGAAAGAATTCAGAGAGACCAATAACTTGCAATATAAAATACAGAGACCAATAAAGTCGCTAGACAGAATACAGAGAGACCAACAACTTGCTATATAAAATACACAGACCAATAAAGTCGCTAGACAGAATACAGAGACCAACAAATTGCTATATAAAATTCAGAGACCAATAAAGTCGCTAGACAGAATACAGAGAGACAAACAACTTGCTATATAAAATACAGAGACCAATAAAGTCGCTAGACAGAATACAGAGAGACCAACAACTTGCTTTATAAAATACAGAGACCAATAAAGTCGCTAGACAGAATACAGAGAGACCAACAACTTGCTATATAAAATACAGAGACCAATAAAGATGGTGGACAGAATACAGAGAAACCAACAAATTGCTATATTTAATTCACAAACCAATAAAGTCGCTAGACAGAATACAGAGACCAACAACTTGCTATATTTAATATATAAATTAACACTCCCCTTATAATAAAACATGCAATTTGATAGTAACTTTTTGATAAAATACTTCAAATTAAAAAATGGCCAGATATTCGGATAATAAAATGTAGGGTGTACAGGACAATGGATATCCTGGACCTGAAATCATGTGATAAAAGAAAGGTAGTTGAGCTAAAGGAGGGGTGGGGAGGAGGGGGGGGGGGGGGGTGTGTGTGTGCAAAAAAAAAGAGGTCAGAGAGGCAGAAAAGATGTGGGCATATTGAAATATCAAGCTCTTGACATAATTCTTGGTATCCTAGGACTTTCAACTATTTCTGTATCAGAAGGTTGATCTGCAGCTGTTCAATGAAGCATTAACCACAAAAGCAAAACGAGCTTAGAGTGTATTACATTCAAAGAGCCATTAACTGTATTCTTGCCTGACAGATTTGAACGGTTCAAATCCAGACCGGGGTATATTTTTAATAATAGACCTTGGCCAAAAGGCACAGGTATTGCAGCCTGACTGTAGATGAGAACACAGAATTCTAGCCAAACTTTAGAGGGTGAACGCAGAAGAAGACAAAATGTAAAATATGATAATGCACTATTGTTTTTTTTAATCAAAAAAACACATAAAGTAGTCTACACTACACAGAGTGTTGTTTGATAAAGAGTTATACTGTAATGAAGACATCTGTAATTTGAAAGATGCAACATTTGGTTTATATTTTGTTGGCATTTTTCTTTGTTTTTAAACAGGAATTTATTTAGAAAATCATACCTCTGTGAGTTCAGACTCTCTGGCTTCCAAATCTTTCTCAATGTCTTCTTGAACTTTAACATGCTCTTGAACTTGCTGTTGAAGTTCCTGCATTGTCAGGGTCTGTTCATAGATCTCCTTGTCCTTCTGATTGACTGTATCCTCCAGCTGCTTCACAGTCTAAAATATTGAATGTATAAAAGAGTAAGTAGGAGCAGATGGCTGAATGGTTAGAGCACTGGGCATCATCCTCAGAGGGATGGAGATATTTACTGCAGCTGAAAAATAAAATCATAACCTGCACAGTTTGTGGCAACTGCACTAGCCATTAGACCTTAAACTCAAGCTCATGACCTCCTTTGTCCCACGCTACTGTGAAAACAGAATATACAGACAGTAAAGCATGTTTATAAGAGAGAAACAATTTATCAGTTGCCAGAGAAAGGGCAGAATGGCTGGATGTTAGGCATTTATCTCCAACTCAAGAATGCCAGACTTGAATCAAAATAAATTTTACAAATTATAGTGAAGTAGTAACTGAACTTATTGGGTCTTCTTTTATGGGTCCCTGGCCTACTGAGGACATTAGCGACCATGTCTATGCAATTCACTCTATTGGCCGATATTCTGATAAAATTGTTGTTCCTGACACTATTGTCTTCTGCCAAACTGTTTAAGCTTTCCACAATATTTCTTGCTATATCTTCCTTAATGTTTAAAATTCCCTGCACAGCCAAAAAAGAGTAACCCAGGGGTTTCAAAGGACTGAGGGCCTGAAGACAATTATAATAAATATCAGAAGGAGATAGACATCAATTTTTGGCCATGTTATGAGAAGAGAGAAACTGGATATGTCCCATACATTTAATCACTGGTCTTTCATTATTGAAACATCTACTACTTTCAATAGCTATGTAGCAGACTTTGTGATTCTGTTTGTAACTGTATCACTGTCTGTTATATGCTGATGAAGGCTTTCTAGCCGTAACGTTCATCTGTCCCTGGTGAATCTAATGTGAAATTAGCTGTACTTATTGTTTAGACTGACATCTTTGCAATGCAATTTTCAATATATCAACTCACAGAGCATGTTGTGAAAAGTGGAGACAGGCATGCTCAGTGTACAGTGGAAAGCATCACTATGGATGTCCTGGGTAGTTAGCGTCCTTTGGATATTTTCCCCATGCCTATGACAGTGTGCTGGGAAACAAGCAGGCAGACAGACTAGCCGGTTCTGCACCACTTGGTAGTAAACTGATGAATGACAAGCTAGATGTTGTGAGGGCCCTTTGGGAGTGAGTGTACAGTGTGGAGGCACAAATAGATCCTTACAGTCTGAGAGAATGGCGCTGCGAAGAGTTACCAGGGGATCTGGCTGACTTTCAACACTTAAGGGGAAAATGAGATGGATATACAGACAGTTACTGCTGCCATTGGAATTGAAACACTTCGCTTGCTGCTGAAGATAGAGGCAGAGCACTTATGGGAGCGTCCCAAGTCCTATAATGTTGATCTTAATTCAACACTCAATATATAATGGACTTGTTTTTTTTTAATGTTATTCTTTAAAAAAAAAAAATTATATTTCTGCTTGCACATATTTTTACTATTTTATCATTCACTGACCAGCATTTACATCTACGCTGAAGAATAGATTATGCCCAGTTTT